TGGTTCAATTTCCAGCCAAACAATAGACAAGCCTATAAGAGGAACAATAACACTAAGGAGTTATGCACACCTTAGAATTATCCACTACTTGAGATCAAAAGGACGTTTACACAAGGACAAAGTTCAGAAAGGTTAAGAAAGGAGGCGAATGTAAAGAAGAAACAGAAAGTGGGATAAGTGATGTTACATTGTAGAAATGGCAACCAATGACATGAAACAAAATGCATGTGAATTGTTGAATAGAAAACTAATCTCTGTAAACCTTCACCCAATTCACAATTAAAGGTAAAGACAAATTAAACCTTACCATCCTGGTTATGATATCAACTAAAACAAACAAACAAATAGACTCACCAAGATCAAGATGAATGCCAGGGACAAGTGAATGGAGAAAGAACATGATGATAACCACTCCCAACACCATCAAGCATTTGGCGAGCAGTGCCTTGTCTGCTATCCTGTGCTTTGAGAGAGAAAAGCAGTTGGTTTACTTGGGACAGTCTCTAGACTCCTACAGTCATCCTACATGACTTGAATTGCTCCTGTTGACGAAAGATATAAAACCTTGAATTTGTAGAAAGGTGATAAGAAAACCATGTGAAATTCAAAAATATACAGATTCAGCATTGTTTTTGTTGTAAAGTGTTGTCAAGATTCAGGATTAGGGCATTTAAACTCTATAGGAAAAAATTTAAAAATAATAATCAAGTTAAATATGAAGCAGTCTCTTTATAAAACACCTGACCAAATGGCTTTTTCAGCCCACACTCACCCAGGCATTGAGAGAGATGCTGGCAAAGCCATTGGTGCTGACCAGCAATCTGTAGTGGCTCAGCCTTCCATACATATACATTCCACAGCTCTGTGGGTGAGACAGTTTAGTCCGACTGCCCCTTCCCAGTATACGAACAACACTCATGGTGGGAAGAAGAATAGCTTGTTTTCATAACAGTACATAGACTCCTGCCCTGTTGTTATGTGTAAAGCTCCCAAAGACAAGGAAGGAATTCACTTCTCAAACTGATGACCATGTGGGATCTGCCAAAGTCATTTAGTGGGCAGGGATGGTACAGGACACAAATGGTTCTCTGCAGGATCTTTACTGACCTGGGAGCTACTGAACTTCCTTCCAGTGGGCCTGAATGACAGGGGTGGGACAGGATCAAGGCCTTCTCTCCTATGGGAGTCTCCACAAGTCAGAGCTGTGTGGGACTGGGGCAGTGGGTATGGCTTCAGTGGGTTCTATTCAACTCAGGTCCTCTGTATCAACCACTGTTCTTGTGGTTAGGTGACACTGACTCATAGTTACTTTATGTGCAATAGAATGAAAAGTCTCCAGTCCCTCACCAAACTCACAATCCTTGCTATGTTAGAGTCCACTGCTGCTGCCAGTGTGCCAATCCATCTAGTTGGGCATCTTCCTCTTTTTCAATACCTTCACTTTACCAAGCATGATGTCCTTCTTTAGGTATTGGTCCCTGTGATTTGTCCAAAGGATAAAGGATGAAGTCTAACCATTCTGGCTTCTAAGGAGAATTCTGGCTGTACTTCTTCCAAAACAGACTTGCTTGTTCTTTTGGAAGTCTGTGATACATTTAATACTCTGCTTCAACACCATAATTTAAATGCATCAATTCTTCAGTGATCTTCCATATTAATTCTCCACCTTTCCCAAGCATATGTGGATATTAAAACTACCATGAATTGGGTCAATTAGTCCTCAGACTGACATTTTTGC